ATTTTTTTGTCTTTGTCATTACAAGCAATGATGTAGTGAAGAGCTTTATACATATGATTTCCTATATATGGAAGTACATATGTAAGATAAATTTCTAGAAATAGAATTACTGAGTTAAAGAGTCTGTGCATTTCTAATTTTGATATAGCCCTTCAAACAAGCAATATGGTATTACTCTATTGTCAAACTTTGTTGTCTTTGTAAATTTGACAGGTGCAAGGTGGTAGTAACAATATTTTTAAATTTGAGGTTTTCTCACAAATGTGTTAGGATCATCATTTTTTCAATGAGTTTAAGAGCTATTTTTATTTCCTTATCTGTGGACCATCTATTCATATCCTTTACCCATTTTTCCGTTGGGATTTTCACTACTAATTTGGAGAAGCTGTGTGAGTGTAGGTAGATCAGGCTTTTGAGATATGATTTTGGGGATTTTTTACTGAATGCTTTTTATTTTTTTTCAGTTTGAATGAGGTATATTTGACAAAATTCTAAGATATTTAAAGTGTACATTGTGATGATTTGATATACGTATACACTGTGAAAGGATTCCTCCTATCTAATGATGAGTTTGTGTTCTGTGTTTGTTTATGGTGGGTTTCCTTTTTTCCCAGTAGAAGTGCTAGATTTTTATGAAACATATTTTTCAGTCTTTTATTTTATGGCTCTGGATTTTGTGTTATAGTCAGTCACTCCAGTTGGAAATTTCCTAAGGTTTCTTCAAGTATTCTTACAGCTTGACTTGTTTACACTTAAATCTGATTTCATTTGGAATTTATTCTGGTGAAAGGTCTAAGGTATAGATCCAACTTTCTTACTCTGAAAATGGCTACAGTTGCGCCAATACCATTTTACTGAATGGTCCATATTTTCACCACTGATTCGAGTGGACACCTTTGTCATATACTAAATTTCTCTATGTATTGTGTCTATTTCTGGACTTTCTATTTCGTTTTACCAATTTGTATATTTATGCTCTGTCATCATACTATTTTTATTATTGAGACTTTACAATGCATTTTAATATCTCTTAGGACTAGTATTCTCTTATTTCAGTCCTGTTCTGAGTTTTCCAGGCTATTCTTGTTTCTTTATTTTTGCTAACTGTGTTAAATGCATGCCTTTCCATTTATTCAAACCTCTTCTTAAAAAAATAGCTCTTGGTCAAGTGAGAGGGATCAAATGTTTACTGGAATGTGCCAATTATCAAATTATTGCTTCTGCAGCTCTCAGTACCTGCTCTGGGATACTGGAATCTTGGACTCCAAGCATTTCTTCTTCATGGTGAGTAGGATGCTAAGCTTTGGCAGAAGAGGGAACTGAAGGAACACTGCAGGAGGAAGGCAGCTCTCTTCTGCTTCTGGTGAGCTCTTTTTTCCTTACTCCTGCTCCATGGTCCATCATTGGTGTATGTGTGTTGGGGTGTCTGAGGGTGGGAGGGGGACAGATTTGGAGGGGCTCAGCCCCAGCTGTGTGGTCAGAGCATGCAGTCCCTCAGTGCCCTTACAGCACTGGCCCAGTGACCACCATGCCATCTGCTTTGCAACACAGATGGGGCACTCCAGGCCTCCTTAAGCCTGCAGTGGCATCTCAATTTTCTGAGGGCTGTTTTCTGTGAACCTCCTGAAGCAAACACCACACACTCCAGGCCATCCATCTGCAGCAGCACCCCGACTCCCTTTGCATGCCTGCCTGCTTCAGCTCATCTGTGCCCCAGAAGGTTGTTGTATCCTGCTTTCCCAGCTCTGGCCTTGGCAACCCAGCCATTCAAGGGGCTGCAACCACACCTTCTCCAACAAAGTCTAAACCCCAACCTGGGGGAAGAGGCCCCCTTTCAAGTTCATCCTTCCTGGAGTACTCTCCTCAGCCCTAGGGTAGCCCTCAGAATTCTCTGTACATCTCTATGGTTACGCTCCTGTTATAGTTTAACACTTTATATTAAACTTCCCCTGTTTAAAATACCATGCAGTTTCTGTCTCCTGATTGGACCTAGATTGATACTTGATGCTAAGGTAAAACCCCTAAGAGCTAAATAAGGTTGCAACTAGACACCCTAGACCAGTGTCTTCACCCTAGTGTACTAGAAGACTTTCCACAGAGTGAACGGGAACCCAGTTTTAGGGGAATCAGTCTCCTAATCTTTAACTTCTTAAAGTGATGTGTCTGAGATGTGTCCTTGAATGCTCATGCAGATTTCTCCACTCCCACAATTCTTTCAGAACAGCCCTATCCATCCAGAATTCTGCTTTGGTATACGAATCAAATCATTGATTTTGCTAAGCCCTCTTCAGAGATAAATGAAATCACTGTAAACCTGTCTTGGACTTGTCTTTCCCCATCTTGCACACAGTTCCATTATAAGAGAAGAGGGGCTTTAGACAGAGGGTACTTTGGCTGGTGTTAGGATATTCTCATCTCAGATGTGTTGTGGAGAAGGGCTGTCAGAGTGATTCTGCCTCATTCACCTCCTGATTATCATCAAACAATGCCTGCTTATGAAAGAGGTCCTACTTATGAAAGAGAGCTTCAAACACCATAAATAGCTTGTTCATGTATTTCATTGTTCACAATGTTTTTTCCAAGCTATTCTCAATTCTAATTAACAATCTTACTTAGAAAGAAAAGTTCTACTCAATAGCTGATTCTTCTTCTTCTTGTTCTTTTTTTTGCTGAGGAAGATTTGCCCTGAGCTAACATCTGTGCCAATTTTCCTCTATTTAATAGTATGTGGGCCACCAGCACAGCATGGCCACTAACAAAAGGATGTAGGTCCGCACCTAGGAATGGAATCCAGGCTGCTGAAGTAGAGCATGCTGAACTCAACCACCTGGCCATCGGGGCTGATTCTTTTTTTTTTTTTTAATATATATATAACTGAAATATTTATCAAGGGTCCTTCTAGTTGTGGGTCCTTCTAGTTGTGCCAAGTGGGACACCGCCTCAGCATGGCCTGATGAGCCGTGCCATGTCCGCGCCCAGGATCCAAACCGGCGAAACCCTGGGCCGCCAAAGCAGAGTGTGCGAACTTAACCACTCAGCAATGGGGCCAGCCCCCTATAATTTTCTTAAAGGTACAAAATAACACATTTTACTTGAATTAGAAAACAGAAAAATTACGAAGTAAGAATGATTTGGCTGATGGACTTGAATAATAAAAATTGCCTTTGCCAATTAAGTTATATGTCAAGGATTTTCCATAAATTTAATGCACTAAATCTGCAACTTGAAGGTTTTTTGACAAAAGCATATTTGAAGTAACAAAAGCCTTTTATTTTTAATTGCATTTTCTTTCCAGATCCCCCCAGTACATGGTTGTATATCTTAGTTGCAGGTCCTTCTAGTTGTACTGTGTGGGATGCCGCCTCAACATGGCCTGATGAGCGGTGCCATGTCCACACCCAGGATCTGAACCGGCGAAACCCTGGGCCACCGAAGTGGAGTGCACGAACTTAACCACTCGGCCACAGGGCCAGCCCCCAACGAAAGCATTTTATCAAAAGATGTCTCAGGAAATGGTTTATTAAAAATGTTACATTTTCAACCCCCTTTCATTATATTGGATTAAATAAAGTGCCTCTAAGTGAAAGAGGGACATCTAAATTATTAGGCATTTGACATTTACTGGTCAGATGTTTTTGGTGTACCTCCCATACACTGAGACACTGACTGCTTCCAATGCCTGGGTAACATAACCTATGTGAGTCAGTGCTTTCGAATCCTTTGTTTTCTAAAAAATTAGGTGATAAATCATTAAACACAATTTGATGATAGCGCACTCGGTGATTTTGTTGGGCATATTACTTAATAGAAGTTGAAAGGACTGAACGTCATTGCTATATTAAAACTCTCTCCACTCCCAACCAATTATTTATATAAACAAGGTTTTCCAGAACTTATATCTATATATCAATTCAAGACAGAATACACCTGATACTGAATCCTACTTTGTTCTAGTAATAAATACTATTCAATGCAGGATATCTGAAATATTTAAAAAATTTTAAATATAAATATTAAATAATACATCATTATATATTATAGATAATAAACATAAAATGTTAAAAAAATTTCTCTTGAAAAGATATATGGTAGGGTGATCAATAAAAGAATTATAGGATAAAAATATAGTGCATTAAGATAAAACCATGTGGGAAAAGTGGAACATGAATCATGATCATAATTAATAGTTAATTATTTATTGCATTTGTGTGAAGCAATATGATAGATACATTTTTTTCTCAGTTGGACTGCAGAGCAATCTTAAGTGTTGGGAATTCTTATTCACATTTTACAGGTAGGTTTTTGAAGCTCAGGAAGGTTAAATAACTTGCTTTGGGTTACTCTGGGTACTTTCATACATTTTCATAGAATTTTACATAATTCCAAAACTGAAATCATGCCAAATGCATAATTTTGCAACCTGTTTTTTCTTTCATTTTACACTATAGGGTTAAGCAATTGTCTGTCATAAAAAATAAATTTTTAGAAACCAGAATTTTAAAGGCTATAATATAGACTATAAATAACATGGATCTGGCATTTTCTAAAAAAAATTAAAACTTCTTTCCCTCACCAACACTGCAGAGTGTTGGGAGCCTGGGCTGTGGGGTTGGGTAAAATCTGTCTGAGAGAGAAACCACGTGTGCCACGACTGACACTATGGCTTAACACAGGTTTTTTAACCACTGAGCCTCAGTATCTTCACCTAAACCTGTGGACAACAGTGCTTGTCTCCTAGTGTTGTTGGAGGATGAAGTGAGATTATGGACGCAAAGGGACAGCATAATACCTGGCACAGTGAGCTCAATAAAAATGATTAAGAAAGCACTAAAATATCCTTGTACATAAATCTCTAGCCACATTACCTTTTAATTCTTTTGAATAAATTTCTAGAAGTATAATTAAGGGCTCAGAGTATATGACTCTTTAATAGGTCATTATATTCCACCAAACAATTTTCCAAAATAGTGAACCTAGTTTGTATTAGAGAAGGAGCTCACCTTTTGGGTCGAGGAAGGCCCATGGGGGTAAGATTAGGGTCTGGCTTAGGAATGGTTTTCCGGATGCGAATCTGTGAGACTTTCTTTGGCCTCTTCTCTGGCTCGGCCTATTTTTAAGGGTTAAGAAGAAAGATGGTCAAGTTGTAAGACATTTTAAAAATATAAAGTCCCTTTTCTTGACACTCAAGATATCACTTCCTCAGTTTATAGATGATTCTAGTTTATGACAAAGCTACCCCTCCTACTCTTGCCGACAGTGTCTTCAGTGACTACCCCCTTTTATATTATTACAATAGAATTTGTATATTTAGTTCAGATATTTAGATTATCAATATGAAAATTTGCAGCTGTTAGAGATATCAGACATCACAAAATTGAAGAACACCATTGTTTGTTCACTTATCTTCTTTGAATACATGAAGCAGCTCTGTGGTCCAATTCTCTAACCAGTGTTAAATGCTGTTGTCAAGAAAAAAGGATCTGGAAAATAATGTAGGTTAGGAGATTCAGGGTATCTGTTAGTGGCTGAGCAGAAAAACTCCTGTCTTGGTAATCTCCAGTATTTAGCTGAAGCTAAAGGTGGTAAGTAAAGACACTCAGCGGCCTGTCTGTACCTACCATGTGATCTGTAGTCATCAATGGACACCTCCAGTGCCACCATCACCTGACCCCACTAGCACTTTATTTACCTCTTTCTGTTCCGGAGAGCTGCTCTGGGGCCGGGGGCACGCTGCTGTCACACCATCCAGCTCATCAAATCCAGGAACCTGGAACTCAGAGGCTGAAAGCAAGAGCTTGCTGACAGCTGATTCTGTTACCAAGCAAGACTTTGGTACCAAGGCAGAGAATGAAGGCTCTAGACTAGCACCACAGAGAGAAAAACAGAAGAAAAATATGAGACGGGTTCACTTTCTACCTCAGCACATTCAACTTAACATCCAGACTAAGGTTGAAGACTTTCCCTCTTTCTGGCAATGACATTTCCACATAAACTGTTTGTTTTCTAGTCACTTCTAAACATAGCCTGTGTCTGCATATGTAAAAAATTAGAAGAATGTGGTCAATCCAGTTCATTGATATGGAGCAGTTTTATAAAGAAAAATATAAAAAGGAACAGACTTTTTGGAGGAAGAAGAAATTTAGTGAACTGAACAAATGAATTGCGCTCAGATGAGATTAATCCCATCTAGGCACTGAAGTTGGCCAAATGACCAAGACATAGCTGGAGAGGAGATGTGTGGTACAATGAACTGTCCAGTAATTTTGACTTTTTTCCCAATAAATGGTATTGATTACACATGCTTAGTCTTTACTTGTAATGAAACACACTTGAATCTTAGATCAATTTTAGAACAAGAGGTCAGAATCACATTATGCCTGACCCAGGCCATCTCCTAGCATGTGCACTCGTGTGTGTGCTTTCTCTCTGACACACACAGACACTGCAACCCTCATGTGCCAGGCACCAGTGGAAGCTTACCTCATCTGACTGCCGCTGGTGTTGTAAGTAGCTTCCACGCCTGGAAGAGGCACATGTGGTAACATGGTGTGGCTAAGGTGAAGCAAAAGTATAAAAGCAGTAAGTTAGGGCAGTGGAACAACAGAAAAGGTTTCGATGCCTTTGTGGGCAATGGCACATGACACTCAATTAGAGCCCTCAGAAGACAAGCAATATCAGTCACTCAGAAAGATGAGAACCTCCCAGTCACGAGAATTACATTTTATGGGCCCATCACTGGAACGGAGGCAGGCTGACAGGAAGATCATTTTCTAACTAAACAAACAAGGTAGGGAGGGAAATAAAGAGAAGATAGTTAGAGAAAGGAGAGGAACAAGAATGACTTAAGCCTTATACCTTCTAATCAAGTTGTTGAACATGTATATTAAAGATTTTTAAAAAATAAATTAGGGGCCAGCCCCGTGGCCGAGTGGTTAAGTTTGGGCACTCTGCTTCAGCAGCCCATGGTTTCGCTGGTTTGGATCTGGGGCACAGACCTGGCACTGCTGTTCAGGCCATGCTGAGGCGGCGTCCCACATGCCACAACTAGAAGGATGCACAACTAGAATATACAACTATGTACTGGGGGACTTTGGGGAGAAGAAGGAAAAATAACTAACTAACTAAATAAATAAAATAATAAATTATACTTACATAATAGTATAAATATTTTATACTATTCAGCTCTGTATTAACTCTATTACAATAAAATCTGCAAATTTCTATGACTTCACAAAAAATTATGAAGAAATTTTCTTTTCTTTAAAGTCAAGTTCCACATAAAATATAGCTATGAAGATGAAAACTGTTGACAGGTTGGTTCATTTATAATTAAGCTTTTTATAGACGAAACCATAGTATTAATCACCTATGGATACATTAATCTGAGGCTCTGAATTTTTTGTGCCTCACAAAGTAAAACCTGTATCAGTTTCTACCGAATGTAGAGCACAATACAGGTTTAATTAATACGGTGTTGATATGATGACCATACAATCCATCTCCTCTTAGAACTAAGAGAAATTTGTTCCATGGCTAGGAAAAACACAGACAATTCAGATTTTTAGAATGTTTAGTAGCAATTCAGGATTCCCCAAGGAGTATGATAAAAGGAAAGAGAGGCAGGGTGGAGCTGACCAAATCAGAAATCAGGGACCTGGGTTCTAGGTATAGCTCAGCTCAAATATTCAGCAGCTGAGTGATCTGAGTTAGAAAAAACCAGGTGCCTCAGTCTCATCATCTATTAAAAACGTAAACTAGATGCCTGTTCATCCTATATTATACAGTACCGGAGAATAAGGTTCAAATAAGAAAATCCTATGGAAATATAAGTTAATTTTTAAGGACTTTGTTAAGTCTTGCTTTCTGGGGCTACCTAGTTTGCCTAATATTTCTACGTATGTTTAGAAAAGCAGCAAACTCCTAAACTCTAAACCATGGATATATAATGTTAAGACGCTTTCACAGCCAATGAGAAGAAAAAGTGCCTACCAACACCATCCCTCTACCTTCCACTTGAATTAAAATAATAAAATAAATTAAAAAATTTTTTAAATTTAAAAATGAAAAATAATTTTTTAACTAAAAAAAAAAAAGCACGAGCCAGAGGTAGTAAGGGAGAGAGAAAATATTCCATACAAGGAAACAGAAAAGTCAGGTGGGAAAGAGTTCTGTAGGAGGAAAAAGGGTGAAAGGGCCACATACCCTCACAGGGTGAAATGAGTAAACTACACATGACACTAACCTCAGAAATGAACACAGTCAGTAACACGATTTAAAGCTGTGTGTCACAGACACAGAGCAGACAGCAGTTATGAGATTGCAGAGGCATACCAACAAACCAGACAAAATAAAAGCAGTACACTATCATTTAAAACAACTTGATTCATTCTAATGTATTTTTATGGCTGCCTTATAAAAAAGTGAACATTTCTCTACTAACTGTAAGACAAGTACTTATAATAGTAATTCATCTTTCAATTTCAATCAGCCACATTCAGGTTCTGGAGTATTTTTCCAAAACTCTTTTATTTATTTAGTTTTCCGCTTAACTGCTTGGGGAAGTTCACGATATGCACCAGCAGCTTTTTAACGACACAGAATTATCCTGCATAAGAGACTGCCCCGACATCCAAAGAATAAGGCCTCTCCCAGGCTATTTGGAATTTTAAGGCTTTTTTTGTTGTTGAAATTTTAAACTATAGTCATGTGCCGCATAACGACGTTTCGGTCAGTGACGGACACACTGCATATATGATGGTGGTCCCATAAGACTAGTACCGTATAGCCTATGTGTGTAGTAGGCTATGTCATCTGTGTTTGCGTAAGTGCACTGTATGAGATTCGCACGATGACAAATCACCTAAGGATACCTTTCTCAGAACATATCCATGGTTAAGTGATGCATGACTGTACAGCAATGTTAAGGGCAAATTAAAAAAAAATTTAAGCTCCTGTTTATCCAAAGGATTACAAACGAGGATTTATCTATTATGTGTAAAGCAGTGTTTTAGGGATATAACTCTCAAATCCTTTGCTTCTCTTATTTTCAATTAGAAGGTAAAATGATATTGGTGAAATTATTTTCACCACAAGAACTCTTTTCCAGTTCACTTAAAAATAAAAATTCTACACCTATAGTATGTAAATACCAATCTTTGAAGCCTCTCTGCTCCAGACAGAAATGCAGAGGTCTGTAAACTAGATTTGGTGATACCTGTATAATTAATATATTTAAAAACTACTTATTCTGTATCCTTTACATACCAAACACCAAGTTAGGTGTTGGTTGTATAGCACTTTGTCATTAAGATATAATTACAAGCCATTATTTGTCACTATTTAAGGCCTTTAATTTGTAACGGTGTTTGTTCTTTGCAAGGTGGGGGCAAGAAGAAAAAAGATTTAAAAGATTTGTTTGTTTGTAGAATGAAATGGACAGAAAAAAGAATGGCACAAAATATAGGAGTAGATGATGCAGGAAAATGGAAAATCAGACAGGTCTACACTTAAGAATTGCTGTTGCATTTTCTCAGCAGAGATTTGCAAGATAAACAGAAAGTGCAGACACAAAAGACTGCAAATAGCCCTGAATCTCCCCTAGTGCCCCTCTCCTCTCCCCAATAGCAGGAAGCAAACATGGGACATTTGCAAAGAATAGGGGACCGATTTTACCTGCTTATGGTGCCCAGAGTTGGCTGCCGCATGCTGTGAGTGGAATGAAGAGCAGAGATTTCGAAGGGGCAGGCAGTAGGCCCATGCTGGCTCCAAATGGACAGCACTCGGCCCACCGAGTAGGGTAGAGAACAGAAGACTTTGTCTGCTATGGAGGCTGGAGACCTTAACCCTTTCAAGCCCTGTGTAACCTGGGTCATGAAGAGCCTCTGCATGGCAGGCATGTGACTGGAGAAGCTCCGTTTTTTTGTCCAGATCCGGTAACATCCAGGGGAACAAAGTGCTAGAAGTGTGTGAAGGCCAAGGACAGAGCAGCCTGCTCTGGTCTGGACTATGGCGGTGCCTCCATAGTCTTGGAGAGGAACTGGAGGGTGTGAAGGAGCCTGGGCGCATGCCTGACCACGGAGGCCAGTGTCTTCCCTGAATGTGGCCATCCCAGGGCAACCGTGGGACAAGAAGAAAGAAAAGGTCCACTTGGGAGGTTGAGATGGGCACTGTGGGGCCTCTCCTAAGGCAAGCCTCGTTGGAGCACAGTGCTCCGGAAAAGTCCTTGGGGACTCAGCCATGCACTCAGAGCCTGATTTCACATGAAAGGATACTGGGAAGATTTCAGAACCAAACAGCAGCGATGGCATCTTGTCGCTCAAATCTATGAAATTCATTTTGATGGCTTCAAGAGAATAAAGTGTCAAAGGCTTACTATTAGGCCACTTATCCCATCCACTAGCTGCCAAATATGGATTCAACTGTATTGTATTATACGAAAATCCATCCAGGAGTCTTTTATATCTGAGTCGCTTGTAGCTTTTAGTCACTGGAAGAAGTTCAGAGGAATACGGCCGATATCTTAGTTTCTGGGTCTTCATGGCTGGGGCCAGTTTGGAGGCAAGAATGGACAGCTTGTTGAATAAGGCTGATTCTTTGGTAGGCTTCCTAACATTCAGGCTCCTCAAAGGATGGCACAGAATAGCCTTCTGCTTTGGTATTTGGCTAATTAAGCTCCCAGTAGGTACTGTTTCGGGTTCCAGTTTTGTGGGCGCAGATACAGTATGTGAACTGAGAAATCTGTGTGCTTTTGTGGGGATGGTTTCAGAGGAACTCTTTAAAAGGACAGAACTTCTGATTTTACTCACTTTTCTCCCCATGTTGACTTGCTCCTGACAGGTAACTTTCTTACATGTTCGATGGGGCTGCTTCTTTAAGGGAAGCACTATTTTCTGATGTGAAGTGTTCCCAAAGGCACCGTGTATTTCATCACACCTAGCAGAGGAGGGGTCTTGTGCTTTCCAGGGGGCACCACGAAGGCAAGGACCTGTGCACAACTTAATGTTCTTTTTTAATGGATGACACAAGCTTTCCTCCTGTGGGTCTTTCAACTTCTGAAACCGTGCAGCAATGTCGCCCTTGGCCAGCTTTGCTAGGGTGATTTCTTTCATCATGGGGAACTTATCTTTACAATCCTTAGGTTGGTTCTTACTTCGCACCTCATCTGACAACATATTAGATGATGTGCATTGTTCCAATATTGCATGTGCTTCTTTTTGCTGTATATGTTCCTCTTCCTTCTGCAACATGTGGTCCAAAATCTTCTGGCTTTGTTCGTCGGCATCACCAAGCATCCTCTGGGATTTAAAGTGGGTCTGAGAAATCTCACTCATATTATCACCGTGGCTATATTCTCTGGTAATCATCTCCTCAGATTCCTCCCCAACAGTTAAGTGACCCAGTGGTCCCCTTTGATGTTCTTCAGTTTCTTCACCTTTCACTGTAGTTTCTGTTTCCATTGTCAAAGGCAAATTTTTCACACTGATGTCTACACTGTTTCCTTCACTAGGATTACTCATATCCCTTGGTGCTCCTCTCTTGAGCTCAGGCAGGACTGTGCAGTCCTTTACGTTTCCACAAGGCATCTCATCATCTTTTGGTTTTAAAAGATTTTCCAGGTCAGTTTCTTCACTATTAATATTAGTTTCTGAATTTTCTTCAGAAGACAGACACAAAGGCATTAGCTCAATGGATTTCAGGATCCCTGGCGGAACAGAGTTCTCACCTTGGCATCTAAAAGATATTACCTCTTTTGAGGAAATTCCAAAGGTATCTTCCTTGTCAAAGTCAGAATTTATTTCCAGTTTTGATCCTTCAACCATTCCTTGTGTTTCTCTCAGACATCCTTCTTTAACTTGCTGTTCATGATGAATATAATTTAAAGACACATTTACTCTATCTAATATTTTTATATTTGGTTCATGATCTGCAATACATTCTATCTCATGGGCACAAGAGTCTACACACACTTCCATTTCACAATCTTTTAATGATCTGCATACTTTCTCTTCACATGATTTTTTTAGTTCAAGAGATTCCACTATAGAGGAAGTAGTATCTGGGAAATCTGAGTCCTGGTCAATCATTCCTGTAAGTGCAGCCTTCAGTTCTCTCTGAGACAGGGTACTCCTTGAGGTTTCATGTAATACCAGTCTATTTTGCCTTGCAGCACCATCAAATGTACTAGATGCCCTTATGTCCAGCACGCCTTCTGTAGGTTTATTACTACAGTCTGTGTAGATGACATCTACCACACCATCTGTAGACTCCTCACAACCAGAAATCCCTTCAAAGGCTCCTTTCAAATCGCCTTTCTCTGGACTACCTCCAGACAATGAGTTGTTACTGCCTGAACTGACTAGCAGATCCCTTTGGTTGTGACTTACCTCTCTGTTAGGCTCTGTGATGGTCTCTCTCTGGTCACTACCTAGGGTATCTTCACTTCTGCCTACATCTGGTCTGACTAGATTACTCTGGCAGTCAAAGACTTCATCTGCTTTCTGATCAAGAGTTTCAATTGTTTGGTTCATGATTTTAAAACTCGAGAACACAATACTAGGAGACTGGTCCAACAGTTTTTCAGGACTTGGAATGTTTGCAGATTGGTTTAGTTCTTGTGTGGCACAATCAGAGATGCTATACTTACAAAACACAGTCTCTTTGGGTATATTCTGTTCCTTTCCTTCTAGCCCTTCCTCACTGGGTTGGATGTAACTGGTGGTGTGACTGGAAGCTTCACTGTTTAACATGCCTACTGTTGTTTTGTTTCTAATCTCATCTTCTGGAAGGCTGCCTTTAGTTTCTCTCCCATCAAGTTCACTTTCCTCGAATGTATCAGTCACCTTATGGATGGTACTTTTTATGGAGACTTCTCTTCCTTGGGAGTGGTGATCGCTGCCCTGAAATGCATTTTCATACTTGGTTATCAAAGAGTTTTCAACTTCCAGGATGGTTTTGCTAGACTCAAAAGCAGTACAAGCAGAACCCATGCTCTTTTCTGGTGCATTTTTTCTTATACAATGAGAGCTAGAGAGATCCTGAGATCGAACACTTTGACATTCCATGACAGAAACCTCTTGAGGCAAGCCTGCTGCTTCTTTCTTACTTGAGAAAAGTCTGGAATGTAGATCTTCTGTTCCTGAATCAGCCATTTTACTTTTTCCTTCTAGACTTACTGGTTTGATGTTTAAGGTGGGATTGTTGGAAGAGGCACCACAGGTTTTGTCACCTGGTGGAGAGATGTCTTTCATTTTCGTCTTCCTGGAAATGGTTTGGGTATCAGCAATGACGTCTACTCCAGCCTCTAATGGAGGGTGATGGCTCTGTTGGGAATCCTTGCTTGTTGCTAAAGGCAAATCTTCGTCAGCTGGCAGCTTGGTGTGGTCTCGAGAATTAAGGGACACTTGATTTAAAACACATTCATTTTCTATTTTGTTTACAACCAGTTCATCGGAACAAGGAAACTGATTTATCTCACAGGCAATGCTCTGTTCATCTAAATGTGGAATATCATCTTGTGAGGTCTGTACAGCTTTTTCTGACCCAAGTCTGTAATCAAACTCTAGCGATGGTGGTAGCTGAGCAATATTTTTCTTGGGTCTTGATACCTCATTTACAGGACTTATCTGGTCCTCTGGCATTAAACTCACAGGGGATTTTCTTTCAATAAGAAACGCATTATACGATGCTTCATTTAACTGGGTGTTGCCTTCCAGATTTCTCTGGGTGCTGACTAAGGAGTTAGAGTCTTTACTGTAAAACTTTTTACTTAACATATTGGGCTCTATAGTGGTAGTCTGTTCTGGCTCTTCAATCTGCATCAAGGAGGAAAAACTGCTCTCTTCAGAGTGTCCATCTGGATGGCTCATATTTGTACAAGTTACTCTGTGGTCCTTACAGTTTGTCAAGCTACACCGAATCTCTGAAGTGATTTTCAAATCATTTTTTTTTAACATTACTTCTGTGGCTTCACTAAAAGAATTGGCCATTAAAGAACTAGAACTGTCTGTGTGGATACCAGCTTGAATGCACAAGTTATCATGGATATTCTCTTTCGGGGAGTCAACAGTCTCTTTATCACCAGAACAATGATTACTAGCATTTGCTTCTGGTTGCCTGGCATTAACAAAAAAGAGTTCCTGTGGTTCACTTCTGGGGTTCAAAAGTTCTTCTTCATTTTCTTTCCTAGAAGCCAAGTTCTTGCTTTGATCATTCCCATCAAAACAGGAATTATCTGTCTTTTCAGCAGATCTCTTCAGCAAGCAATTACCTTCAAAACCACATTTTTCTAAGGATGTTGTTCTGGATTCTGGACTAGACAAACTTGATGTGAAATGTGAAACTTCAGAATTTTCTACAACAACTACATTTCTTGTAGCTTTGGGACTGCCATGTGCACAACTGTGTTTTTCATTATGGTGGCCAAGAATCTGTTGGTGATTGTCATCTGCTTCACAGACAAGGTTTAATTTGCACAACTCTTCCTTTCCATTGTCCACTTTGGAAATGGCACTGTTCCCTGGTAACAATGACAACCAAGAAGGACAAGTTTTTAATTCTTCACATTCTTTTTCTTTAGGAGTTGCTTCTGTTAATCCAGGGTCCACAAAGGTTAAAGGCTCTAGGGACACTATTGTGCTGGTTTCTGAAACCTCACCACTGGTCATGATTTTGTCTACTTCTGGGTATTTGCTGCACCCAGCTGAGAGACCTTTACTCACATTGCCATTCTTGTGTCCTTCATTATTATCCATCTTAGTCCCATTGACCTTCATACCTTGTACCTCTTCAGTAGATTTTAGCAGAGTTTGTTCTGTAATCTGTACACTTCCTTCTGCATAAGAGAAATAAATCTAAATCAGTATGCAATCATAAAAAAAATCATTTGCTCTACTTGTATGAATTTAATCATGCAACCAATGGCAATAACAAAGATGATCCGACTCAAAAAGAGAATTGCAAAGTTAGTGCACAGTATTTTTGGTTTTGTTCTTCTCTGCAAAATATGACACAGGGCCAAAAGTATACGTGGCAGAAACAGGTAATTGTGAACAAATCCTTTCCTCTAAGTGTTAGTTACCTAAACGTACTTATGTAGCTGGACAGCTGACTACAACACGGAGATATATGCTTAATTCAGAAGAAGCTTCCATTGTAAAACACAAATAAATTAGACTCACAACAATTTATATTATTAGATAACCCACTTCTTATTACTTGAATAAATACTAAATAAGTCATAGATAAAATTTCTCTTTGATAAAGAACAGTTATGCATAAAACCTAATGTAAAAGAGATTAATCTGTAAGTTGAATATTAGTCCTGAACCCAATTACTTGCCATAACTGCATCTCTACAACATTGGTCATGAGTTGGTAATTACTGAAGCTAAGTACATGGGGGTTTAGTATATTCTCCTTTCCACTTTTGAATAAATCTGAAAATTTCCACTATGAAACATTAAAAAACAAACAAAAACCTTTCTAAGCAGAATATAAATGCAATTCATAAAGGAGTTTTACTGTATAGAGTTTCTCTGAAATCCTACTATATGTGTAAGACGCAGTATAAAGAAGTTCTCAAACTTGTTAATCTACAAAATTTTTCATCCCTCCTCCCTTTTTAGAAAACAAACTCAAAGCTATACATTCACGTGTGTATGTGTATATATATGTATGTAACAGGAAACCTGCAATAAACAGATAAAGCAAAATGCAAATCAATGTAAAGATCTAATTCCCACTAGAATATAAACTTGACCAGGGTAAGGATCGGGTTTGTTTTGGTCTCTCCTCTTCCAGCCTAACACCTGGGACATAACAGCACTCAAATATTTGCAGAATTAATAAATGAATACAATTAGGTTAAATCAACAAATGCTATTAATAGTGTGTTCTTAGGGCTTCCCTATCCATTTCTCAATAGATACTGAGAGCAGCGATTATTTAAAGAGCAGCGAACCTGAAGGCTGGCCAGCTGGGCTTTGTGATATTACTTACCTCTCTGAGGCTCAGCTTCTTCCTCTGTGAAAAAGAGAGGAAGCACACGTACCTCAGTGCTATCTGAGGATTAAATTAAATAATACATGTAAAACACCACCTGGTACAGTGCCTGCCATATAAAAGAAAGGTGCCTTTCCTTTGTTCTGCTTTCTTTGATTTTTATTTTACTGGACCTGAGAATAGTTAAAATGATAAACTTAATAACTAGGCTAGGACACAGCATTTTAAAATATTTAGAATCAGCAAATATTAGATGGATAAATGTATACTGGATTCCTTAAGTTTGCATAGATACAAATACTCCAGTGGTTTTACTCTCTCTCTCCACTGGACGCTGTAGCATTCATTAAACCATGCAGTTATATTCTGGGCCCTCTCTCTGTGTGCCAGCACCATCCTACCTGTATCCCTCATTATATCCGCTCAGGAAAAATTCTAAAACTCTTCATCCCTCCTCAAACTATTTACTGTGCAAAGCACTGAAGGCAGGACTTTCTTCAGAGCCTCTACTTGCTGAAAAAATGCTTGTTCTCCACTTAGTCAACATTCTTAGGGAAGAGACAAGGGAGCAACCATTTCCCAGGCAGTGTAGCAGAAGGTTTGGTGGGGAAGAGGAGCTGTGTACAGCTTGAAAGCAAAATGATACTCTGCCCACTCTTTTGACTTGTTTTTAACCATATTTATTTTGAAATAAAGAGAACCTTAAAGAGTTTGAGGCAATTTCATGTTTACAAGAAAGTTTTCACAAGGCTGTGGAACACTGGCCTGGTCTTCATCTATAATATGGTAAGAAAGATGGTACCTACCTACTTGTAAAGATTAGATAAGTTAATATAGGTAAAGCTGTTAGAAATGCCAGACAGAGTCCATGCTTGGTTAGTGCTAGCCACTCCTTTGAGCCCCCACTACCTTGTACAGTATCTCTATCAAAACCTCTGTAACACTATTTCTCAATTATTTGTTTAATATATCACCTCCATGAGACTGGAGCTATTTGAGGGCAGAAAGTGGATCTTAATGATTGTTGTAGACCCAGTACCTAACAGTGACCTTGGCACACTGCAGGTACATAACAGGTTGGCTGAATGAAGAATCAGAAGATTAGGGAAGTTGTTAAAAGTATGAGGTATACTTGATCCAGCAATTCCACTTCTGGGTATATACGCGAAGGAAACAAAATCACTATCCTGAGAAGATATCTGCACCTCATGATCACTGCAGCATTATTTATGGTGGGCAAGACACAGAAACAACCTAAGTATCCATTGATGGAGGAGTGGATAAAGAAAACGTGGTATATTAAAATAAAGTATTAGGTATACTGGGGGGTGAAAAATGTATTCTGTGAGGTATGGGACCATTTTAGAAGTACAAGAATTTCACAACCTCAGCTGAAGATCCTGGATTTGTAGTCTTGTTAAAAACCATTTGGGGGCTGGCCCCATGGCCAAGTGGTTAAGTTTGTGTACTCTGCTTTGGCAGCCTGGGGTTTGCTGGTTCAGATCCTGGGCGCAGACCTACATACCGTTCATCATGCCATGCTGTGGTGGCATCCTGCATAGAAGAACTAGAATGACCTACAACTAGGATATACAACTATGTACTGGGGCTTTGGGGAGGAGGAAAAAAAAAAAGGAGGAAGATTGGCAACAGACGTTAGCTCAGGGCCAATCTTCCTCACTTAAAAAACCCCAAATATTTAAAAGGTGCTTATGTTTGCAGAAATTGAAAAACTAATCCTAAAACTCAAATGAAAATGCAAGGGACAGGGGCAGGCCCAGTGGTGCAGTGGTTAAGTTTGAATGTTCCACTTTGGTGGCCTGTGGTTTGCTGGTTTGGACCCCGAGTGCGGACATGGCACTACTTGGCATGCCATGCTGTGGTAGGCATCCCACATATAAAGTAGAGGAAGATGGGCATGGATGTTAGCTCAGGGCCAGCCTTCCTCAGTAAAGAGAGGAGGATTGGCAGCAGTTAGCTGAGGGCTAATCTTCCTCAAAAAAAAAAAAAGAAAGAAAGAAAATGCAAGGGACACATAACGATCTTGAAAAAGAAGAAAGAAGGTGGTAGATTCACATTTCCTGATTTCAAAAATAAAGCTCCAATAATCAAGATAGTGTGGCCCTGGCATAGGATAGACATACAGATCAATGGAACAGAACCGAGAGTCCAGATAAACTCTAACGTTTACAGTCAGTCAACTGATGTTTGACAAGTGAGACCAAGAAGAAAAGTTTTTCAACAAATAGTGATGAGACAACGGGATATCCACATGCAAAAGAATAAATCTGGACCCTAGCTCACATCACACAAAAGAATTAATTTGAAGTGGATCATAGACGAAAAGACAAGAGTAAATCTTCATGATCTTGGGTTTGGTAATGATTTCTCAGCTAAGATACCAAAAAGCACAAGGGATAAAAAAAGGAGACTGATAAGTTGGGCTCCGTTAAAACTAAAAACTTTCGTGCTTCAAAGGACACCAAGAAGTGAAAAGACAACCCACTGGCCAGGAGTAAATATCTGCAAATCATCTATCTGACAAGGGATTTGTATTTAGAATATAAAAAGAATTCTCACAACTCAACAATAAAAAGACAAAAAAACTTATTTAAAAATAGGCAGTGGGATGGGGCTGGCCCAGTGGTGTAGTGGTTAAGTTCATGCGCTCTGCTTCACTGGCCTGGGATTCACAGGTGTGGATCCTGGGCACGGACCTAGCACCTCATCAAGCCGTGCTGTGGTAGCATCCCACAGAAAACAGAGGAAGATTGGCACAGATGTTAGCTCAACAACAATCTTACTCACAGAAAAAAAGGCAGAGCGAGCATAACTCCCCATTCCTTAAGTTAGGCTGTGCAAGGTGTCTTCCTTCCAATGAGTACGGTATGGAAAGGAGGTGAGGGGAGTAACTGCACAGTGGAGAAAACTGACAAACACTACTTCATGTTTAGAGTATGTGCCTGTGAAATGCTGTGATGAAAATGGCACTTTACCTGTGTGACTTTTCTCCCCCAAACCCGTAACCCCAGTCTTATGAGAAAAATATTAAACAAACCCCAATGGAGAGGGATTCTACAATATACCTGACCAGTACTCCTCAAAATCTCTCAAGATGACCAAAAACAAGAAAAGTGTGAGAAACTGTCACAGCCAAGAGGAGCCTCAGGCGATGTGAGGACTAAATGCAATGTGGTATCCTGATAGCATTCTAGAACAGGAAAAGGCTATTACACAAAAATTTAAAAAATCTGAATAAACTATGGACTTTAGTTAATAATAATGTATCAATAGTGGTTCATTAATTGTAATAAATGTACCACACTAATATGTTAATGGAGGAAACTGTGTGCATGGAGTGGGGAAAGATGTGGAAAGTCTCTGTACTATGTGCTCAATTTCTCTGTAAATCTTAAAGTGTTCTAAAGATAAAGTTATTAATTTTTTAAAAAGTAAAAAAAAAGGACAAAGGATTGGAATAGACATTTTCCCAAGATATACAAATGGTCAATAAGCACATAAAAAGACACTCAACATCATTAGTCATTAGAGAAATGACAATCGAAACCACAATATCACTTTATACCCATTAAAATGGCTATAATTCAAAACAAAACAGAAAATAACAAGTGTTGGACAGAAGGTGGAGAAACTGGAAGCTTCATACATTGTTGGTGGGATTGTGAAATGGTGTAGCTACTTTGGAAAAGTCTGGTAACTCCTTGAAATGCTAAACATAGAGTTACCATATAACCCAGTAATTCCACCCTTATGTAACTACTCAAGGAAATTAAAACCTATGTCCACACAAAACCTGTATACAAATGCTGA